GGTCAACTGTGGGACTTAGACAGTTAATATGTGTTTGTGGCAAACAATGATGTTACTAAGGACCTTTGTGCCGATTGTAACTGTGATGGTGGAACTAAAGTTTTTTCTGTGAAAAAATACAATAAAACACTATTTGAATGGAGTTTGGGGGGCGCCCTGATAACTCACCTGGTAGCGCCTGTGCCCCATGTACCAAAGCTGTGTCCTTGCTACAGCAGCCCAGGGTTTAAATCCAACCTGTGGCCCCTTTCCTGCGTATCATCGTCTCTCTCTCTCTTTTCCTGTCACTCTTTAGCTGACACTATCAATTAAAAGCAATAAAAGCCCCTAAAATTACAAAAAGAAATACAAAAGAATGGAGTTTGGTTTGACAGTCTGGAGCAGAGGATCTTTTGACCCCAATAGTTCACATAAACTCAGCTGAGCAAGGTAGGAAATGGAGCTAAAACATGTTTTCCACTTCTGTTGGCTCGTCGCTTAATAAACACAAACGGTGGTTCCGCTTCGCCACAGCGATGTAATTAGTTTACAGTAACATAACACTGGACAGATGACCGTTCAGAAAAATAAAAAGTCTCACCGACAGAAACAATGTCAGATGTCAGAAATATGTGATTCAATGAGGTAGTTCATCAGCACATCAGACTGAGGCAGACCCTATTCAACACAATTGTTGAGGTAATGACATAAGATACTTGTTTGGCTTGCTGGCAAAAAGATTCTGGCTCCAAATAGTAATAATAATAAAAGTGATACGGTATTCTTATTTTATGCAATGAAATCGGCAAAGACTTCAGAACTTGCATTTACCGCCAGTCAAATTAGAGGGGCTGCTTTTACCCAAAAGGGGGCAGGGGCTTAACTCAAGGCCAAAGTACCCAGATGGGGGCCTTTCATCTATTACACTGCTAGATGCTACTAAATCCCAAACGCTGGACCTTAAAAACAGGTGGTACCACTTTATTTAAAAGGGTGCGCATGAGACGGACATGACACCTTCATAACCATGACGTGATACCTGTGAAGTCTTTATGAATGTTGTGAAGTGTGATTCATTTTCAATAGGGGTTAGGTTAGGTTTGATTAATTGACCAAAAAACACTTAATGAAACACCAGTCATAAATATTTATAAAGATTCCTTCATGTTCATGGTTATGATGGTGTAATATCAGTTTTATGTGCACCCCTTTAAATAAAGTGTTACCAAACAGGTTCTCCCCAGGACCTTTTTCTCCCAACATCACCTTAGCGACCAGGAGGTTTTGGAGGGTAAAGCTACATAAAAATGTATTTAACCATCATTTTAATTTTTTAGAAAATATTGTTGATGTACTTATTATGATGACAGAGATCTTAATGCTGTATATTTATTGCATACGTCCCAGGTCATATTTCCACAAGAGTTTTAGGGACGTTTACCATCACATCACACACACTCACTTTAGTACTGGGAGAGAACATGGCGATACCACTAAGCTCTACCAAAATCATGCCGAAAACGTATTTCTAGCACTGTGATTATAAAACGTATGATTTTGTGTCTTCTCACGGTTTTCTATTAAATTTTGTTCTGGCAGGATGAAGTGTTTTTCTCACTGACTCTGATTTCCTCTCCGTATTGCCAGCACCCAGAGCGAGGCAGCGAGTTTGGCAAGCCACACCATCTGGGAACTTTTCCGACCCTGTGCAAAATCAGCCCCACACAGACGTTTGTAGTTATCTACACATTATCCTTGAGCTCTGCTGCTTCGGGAGCATCAAATTATAATCACTTTCCTTATCATCTATATCAATATAAGAGGAGACTGACACTCCTGCCTGTCTTTTTATATGCATGTTATATGCCTTTCTTTCTTTCTTTCTTTCTTTCTTTCAAAGAGTGCTGTATCCACAGTAGTGGAGAAGGCATGCAGACCAGATCAATACCCTGTAGGGGTGTTGGCAGGGAACAGAGTTTTGATAAAGGTCTTTGCAGATAACATTCCTCCCTTCTCTGCTTCCTCTCTCTCGGTTTTTAGATTCTGTCTTCTCTCTGGTTCTCACTCTTTATTTCTCCGTCTACCCGTCGCTCCCTCTCTCTCTCTCGCTGTGGTTCAGTTGATTATGGTGTTGGTCTGTAGCTGGAGGGCTTGGCATCCAAATTAAACTCTTTTTGTCCTACGAGTGTTCAGCTAACGTGTCTCTAGAGATTAGCACACCCACTCGTTAGCTCGTGCGTAGGTGCTGCCATGCAGTTAATGTGTGTGTGCCTTCCTGTGCAGAAAGAGGAGAATAATATTAACCAAAGAGTTGTTTCTGTGTTTTGGGATTTGGAAGTTAGGCCAATAAAAATGTACTTCATAGTCTTTAAAGTTGCTAGCTATCAAGGATGAGCACACCAAGACTGATGGCCGAGTAGTTAGTTCTCCTACACGCTGCAGTAAGAACATTGTTGTTGACCCCAAATAGTTGACCCTTAACACTGGAACCCATTATCATGTTCTAACAAAGGAAATGTCCTCTTTCTCCTTGCCTCTCTTTATCGGCTTGTGATGCCCATTTGACTCGGGAAAAGAAATTCTTTAACTGTTTTTCTCCATGTGTACTGGTGCTTTTTATTTTATCAGCCAGCACTCCCCCGCTCCTCCAATAACAAACACAGGAAGCTGCTGTCGCCGGGTAGAACAGACCGAGCATGGGAGAATAAAAGCACTACACCGCTCTACGGTCAACCTCTTACAAACGGGCTCTGGCCTCAGCTCGACGGGATGCGAAACATCTGTTGGGAGTGATGTGGGATGTCGGTTTAACAGTTTAGTCATGTCACATGCAATATGATGGACGTCAGTGAAGTGGCAAATCTGTCAAATTTGAAGATGTGAAGGCATGATGGGAAACTGCAAAAAGAGGACTGATGAGTTTGGTTGTTTTTGCGCAGAGCTTCGGTTCTGCCTCTACGTGTAGGAACTGCAGTATAAATGTGAATGTGGAGTTTCTTAGACAGTAATGTGCTGTTTGTAAAATGACTGTACAATTATGGAGACTGCACCACATGCACAAGACTGAAAGCAGAAATCTAACATGTGATTACACGCCCAGGCTGAGAGAGTGAAACGTATAAAAACGCGTGTGTGTGTTCACATCACGTATTCAGACCATACATGTACTCTGTGCTCTCACAAATTTGTTCACTTTGTGTTTGCCTCTTAATAACCCAGCTGCATTCTCTCTCTTATTTACAGTCTATCTCTCTCATCCTCAGTCCTTCTCCCTCCCTCTCTTGTAACTGTAGCATTTGCAGAGGACCTTGTGTTCTTCATTTAGAGCCGCAGAAAATACTGCTTGCTGTTCAAAACTCATACCTGGAGCCAGCTAGTCAACAGAGCAAGTGCACTGTCTGTAAATTACGACTTCACACACTGAGCACGACTCAACATTTTATCATTTTAATTATATTCATTAGTCTAAGTGATATACTGTAAAGTCTAGGCCTATTGTGTCTTTGCATGGGCGGTTTAACAGATTAAAGAGACTACTCCAACAGTGAATTGCTCGCACTTGCATCAGCTCTCATAAAATATTTAGTTTGTAGTTTGTTTTTTTTTCTCTGTGAGACTGCAAATACAGATATTATGTTTGTCGCAGCAGGATTTGATGTAAAGTAGCTGACTACATTGTGAATCAAGGCAAGTTTCTGGGTAATAATACAGGATGGGAGGAATAAAAAGAGAGGGAGTTGATGTTTCAGAGAAAACAATAACTAGAGAGTGCAACAGGGTTTTGCTTTTTCCTCGGGCTCTGTTATGTTATCATCAGGATGGTACCTAGCCCAGAAATGTTATGGACAACAAGGCTCTCATTCACGCCACACTTGTACCACAGAGCTCCAAGCATCTCTGAAGGGGCCCGAGATCATTGATATGTTGAAACAGAAGAATGGTGCATTGTTAGCTGATTTTGTACTTAACTGTGCAGGAGGAGGTGAGAGAGAAAGGGCATAGGGAGAGGGATCAAGATGGGCAGTGAGATACAATAGTGGCAATAGATACACAAAGAGAGAATGAGAGAACATTTAGAAGTCATTTCGTCAATGAGGTTGGAAAGACACCAGAGCTCCAGTGCCTTTAGTTCCTGGGAAACAGGAAAATGGCTCTGAACACAGCCCTCTGCCTTCCTCCATTCTCTGTTTTGAATCTCCTTTCCTGTCACTAGCTTCGTCTTATTGGACTCAACTAGACATGAACTGTTGCTCTTCTCATCTTTCACTGATCAGCTTTAGAACAATCCCTGTATTGTGTGTTAAAAGTCAGCTTGTTGTTTGACTCATAGCCCCACTCTGCGCTAACATGTTCCTCACCTTCTTCCCTCCTGCTAACCCAAATACTGGGCTGCCCTGCTTCTCTCACGCACACATACCTGCACCCCAATCACTGTACATAATCCTACAGTGTCTGACGTCACCTCTACATGTTTGGAGGCCCTGACTGAGGCCCCCCCTAATAGTCAGGGTGACTCTGTATTTTTGCTGAGCGGCTGGTGGTGGATGTTTATGTTGGACCTCATCTGGTGATAGAGAACCTGCGTGATGTTTATATTTTCCTTCCTAATGGGCCCCTGAGGTTCACACTGTGTCACCAGACATTTTCATTTTCTCTCAGGGACCCCCATGCTGCAGTCCCAAGATCTGACTGCTTTATGACCCCTCGTATCTCTGTCACATTTTTCTACTTACCCTGATTAAAGACTCCCACAAGCCCTAGACTTAGACTAGAGACATGAGTTAATCCATTTCAGTCTTCATTTTCTCAAAAGTATCTCTTTAATACCTTATTCTTTAATGAAAAGACAGATTTAAAAAAGTGTTTTGCGCAGATCAAGATTGCACTTAAATGATCTTTTTACACTCTCAGGAGCATTTTATATGATAGTTCCATTACAGTGTATATTAGACATTTGCTTTAATACATTATAAAAACCATTACAGTCATTTTCCTAATCAAAGACAATATGAGAAGGAAAATTATGGGTTTGGAGATGATACAATGATAGCACTGACTGACTTTTTTCGGAGCTTCTCATGAGGATGCACATGCATATATTGTGGGTATGTGTCTGTCTATGTACTGCATGTCTGTCCCACTGTGTGGTCTACTGGTCGTATGAGTAACCCTGCTGTGGGTACAGGACCAGTCCCTGAGCATCAGCGAGACAGGAGAAGGCATTTGGGGGAATCCTCTCCACCTCCAGCAGATTATTTTCCAAATGGATCGAAGCCAAGGTGGAGCCAGAATTACGAGGGTGGCACACCCCCCATTTCCTCAGCAGCCTGCAACCACAACATACAGACACGTACATTTAGACATACTACATCTTGAGGTTCACTTCTGTGGGTCTGAGTGGAATGTATCAACAGCTATTAACAGATTGACATGAAATTTTCTTCACACGTACATTCATGCCCCCCCCGTTGATGAATTGCAATCACTAATATCAATAGTGGTGCCCTTCCCTCTAGCGCTATCATCACATTAAAATTTCAATCTGTCCAATACTTTGGGTAATGACTGAATACCTGCTAAACTAATGAAATGGGGTACCCAGGCCTAGTGGTTAAGATGCAGTCCATATAATAACAATGCTGACGATCTGATTACAACTGGGGACTGGAGCATGCTAACACGTCAAACCATGATGGTAAACATGGTACCTGCTAACCATCAGCATGTTACTACAGTCATTATGAGCATGTTAACATGCTAAAGTTAGCATTTAGCTCAAAGTATAGTCGATTGAAGAGTAGACTCTTGTTGAGATCTCTCCTTTGTCTTTCATATGAGAATAATACTTCTCATGTTCATTTTAACTTAGCAATGTGATTGCATTTCGGGAAATCTCCCAAATAAGGAAATCGACCTTCTAACACTTGATGTTCATTAATTGCTTTGGTCACCAGTCTAATTGTGTTATATTAAAGGGGACACAGAGTCTGGAACAGTTCACAGACAGTAATTGGAAATGTTTGTGAAAACAGTTTTCATAATTATACTGACTACGGACTATTGTTAAAATGTTGGTTTGAATAAATAAATTTCCATAAGACACTGAATGTGCCACAATATATTATTTGCTTCTTTGCCAAGCTCCTTAGAGTAATTTCCAAAGGGAGCTGCACTAGCAGAACTAATGCTATTAGGGCAGGATTGGCTAACAAGCAAAATAGCATTTACCTTATCCCTGCATTATGAAAATCACATTAAACTGACTTTATGGAAAGTGTGATTCTACCTGATCTGGTTGTTGTCCAGCCTCAGCACCTGCAGGTTCTTGAACTGTCGAACACAGCGAGGGACATCTTCCAAACGATTATTGTCCAGTAAAAGCTCACTCAGTGAGCGGTATGTTCCGACAAAAGAGACTCTTTCCATACCCTCATTTCTCAAGTCATTGTGGGATAGACAGAGGGACTGTAGGCCGGGCCGCAGGTGACGGAACGCGAAGGCTGGGATGTAACTAATGTTGTTGTGTTGGAGGGTCAGTTTACGGAGACAGCGAGGCAGATTCATTGGGACAGAGGTGAATTGGTTGTAGGACAGGTCCAAGGCTTCCAGTGACCTGAGAGGACACAGAATAGTCATGAATCTCAGTCAGATATCTGCAAGAAAATCAAAATGATGTGTTCAATGAGTTCAGTGTCAGTCTGTTGGACAGTTGGTCGATGCACAACTTTGGTCCAGACTGAAATATCTCAACTATTAAATGGATTTCCATGGGATTAACTCCAGACATGCCTAGTCTCCAGGTGATACATTATACTGAATCTGTTAATCCCCTAATTTTTCCTCTAGCACCATTCGCAGAACAAAGTTTTTCACTTATCCTGAGAAATATTTCAGTATGTACTAGATAGACTGGCACAAAATTTGATAAATTGTAAGAACTTTGGTGATCCCCTGACTTTCATCCAGCACCATAATCAGGTCAAAATCACTCCAATTCGTGGACAAAATAACAGCTCAAAGAATGGCATTCCCATCAGCCTTAGCTGTAGTGTTTAGCACTGTAAAATGTTAACATGCCAACCTGCTAACCTAAGATAGAGATCATGGTAACGTTACACTTAAATGTATTAATGGATACCCACTTCCTCTCTTATTCCAAGGCTTTTCACTGCATGTTTTATAGTTGCTGGACTCCTGCATAGCGCTGTTGGGGAGTCTGCGAGTCAAGAGTGCAGAGTAGGAGGCTAGGCTGCAGGGGAGAAAATAATGGGGCCTGGGGGGTACACAATGTAAGAGAGCATGGCAGTGTGAGGGGAAATTTGTGGCTGAGTGGTGGATAAATGGAGGCGGGTGGGGGCAGATTTCAGGGGTCTGGGGTGAAGTTGGAGTATAGGGGGTTCTATGTTTTTGTTAGAAGATCCTTCACAGCTGTTGTGAGTTTACAGCACAGCTCACAGCAGGAGAGGAACCTAATTTCCTGTCCTTCCGCCATTCATAGACCACACTAAACAGCCAATGGGCCCAGAAGACCCTAAGGTGGCCAGCCAATGATCACACAATGAAGTGAAATACGGACCAATGAGGAGAGAGAGAGTGAAGGGTGATGTCGGAGACTCTTGGACCGGCATCTGTTTGACCGATGTTCAGTGCCTCAGCATTTCTTCTACTTGTAAAGGTGACTTACAGTAAGACCCCTGCATTAACTCTCCTCCCTTGAACTTTACAACTCCCAGGTTACATTAATCATTGGTGTTTTCGTGGGGTTAGGGTTTCCATGCGATAGATAAGATGATGTGCGACAATGAGAAGGGGTTAAAATCCCTAAATCTGTCAAAATATTGGTACATTAAGCAATGTCTGATCATTTGTCAGTATCACAGGAAAGGTCATGGTTAACTAGAGTCCTCCCTCCTTCAGTTCGATCAAGCAAGGTGAGGTTGGTCACATGCCTTTCTGTTTAACAGAGGTGTCATAAAACATCACATTAATACAACATTAAATGTTTTATGGAAAACAAAGTTAAGACACGGGAGGGAATACAGTGACAGATTTAACTCAAAATACACAAGCCAACACTGAGAACACAGCAGGCTTTTTGTTTTAACTGTACGTGTTGTGGCAGTTATAAATTGCTATGAAAATGTGGTTTCTGTTTGAAATTGTATCGCTTCATCCATTTCTCAGGACCAGTTCAGACCAGTTGTTTGCTGCTGATTTGTATTCTAAATCTTTGCCAGCGAGCTCAGCAGCAGTCCGCCGCTGCTTAGAGCTCCACATGGTATTAATGAGCGAAGGGACACACAGTCCTCTCTTCTCAGAGTCCTCCACCCTCTACACTCCCACCCACTGGCACCTACACACATACGCACACACCAACACACATGTACATGCAACATGACATGAAAAAGAAACACTAACACATGCACAAAGAATTGACATGCTCATAGAAAAACACAAACTTATGAATTTAAAAAAAGGAAATTCACAAATAAATAATACATACTGAAGATTTATATACAAATAAATTACAGCGAACACGCACTCTCTTTCCAGGATTAATTTATTACTTCATTTCTGAAGCATTTATAGAGAGGCAAACAGCGCTTACATAAAAACCAAATGTGCTTGTGTGCACAATAGTGTAAGTGTCCATGTTTTGTGCAAAGCATGGCCAGGAGTAATCAAGCTGATGGCCTGCTCATCCTCAGGGTGATGGGTTCTAATGGGAACCAGCACACAGAAGGGTTAGTCTCGCTCTCCCAAACACACACACACACACAGATACAGAAGCACAAGTACAATAGTTACATATACACACAGTTCAGTCTGTGCTGAGCCCACCGTGCCAGAACTACACAAGCTGGCTTATGAACTTGACAACCTGGCCAGGATGGGTAATGTAGCCAGGCAGAGCAGCTGTGCTAAGCAGACTAGACAGGCCAAGACTGAACTTTAAGAAAAATGGAATGATGGATAGATGATGGCAGGACGTGGCTTCAGCTAGGCTACATCACGTCATTATGGTGCAGACTTCTGTGTGCACTGAACTTATCTCAGTATTTAGAACCATTTGTCACATCTGTTAAAAACAGACTGAAGCACATTGTGATTAAATTAAGCACAGAACATGTCACATATTTACTGCTGTGGTACATAGAGTTGTGAATACTGTTCATATGTAGTGATATAGTGATATATATTTTATAAAGATATAGACATACAAATAGTTTCTGATCCAACTCACATTCTCCACCCAGAGCTCTTATCCTCTTTCAGGGTTCCCCAGAGCAGACTGAACCATTATAAACATCCTGCCTATGTCCACTATGATTCTCATCTCAAACAGATAATGTAGGATGGTGGCCATGTAGGTGGTGCGATATGCAATATATTGTATTTGTGTGTATTTATATGTGCAAACTGTGACATGTAAGCTGTGTTGTTGAGATGTTGACGTTAGTTGCTGACTCAGCATTCACAACCATGTTCTTCTACTTTTTTTTTACTTTTTTTTGTTTTTTTAGCACTTAATCACTTCGACATTTTTCAATGTAGAAACTTCATTCAAACTTTTCTCATTGATACCTTTCATACTTTCCATAATATTCCTGTTTTTCCTAAGGATGTTCCCTATTTAATCCTTATGGAGGATTCTCAGTTTTTCATGATTTTTTAACTCTTAACTACTCAATTTATACTTTCAGCTAGAAAGTTCATTCGAACTCTCAAATATTCCACATCTTTCAGACATTTCTAGCTGTTATAGACTTCCAACCCCTTTAAAACTTTACAAAATATTCAACTTTTTTTCAAAAAAGTCATCTTCAACCTCTTCCCACGAACTTATACATTCACATAGAAACTCCATTCAAACTTTAATACGTTCATGACAAGTAGGACTTTCTTGCATTAATTCAGCTTTTTCATATCTTTCAAACTTTTGACACAATTTCAGTTTAAATTTCATGAAAGTTTCAGCCCTTCTGAGACTTTTCCATTAGTGTGTATTGCGTGGAATGTTCAGAGCTAGAGTGGGTGACATCATCACTAGAGTGGACAGACGATATGAAATCGTCTAAAAAAATGAGTATTAAACTTGCTCTCAGAGCCATAATTGTCACTCCACATACATGATTTGTACATTAAAACATAGGAAACTTTGTTGTGGTCGCAGACATTAACTGTGGAAGCAAACGGAGTTACAGTTTTGTCTTTATGAGCTTTCAAACGACAGGAGCACCAACCAACTGCCTCATTTACTTCCATTTTAAGATGGGAGAAAACATTTCAGAGGTGAAGCAGAAGCAGCCACTTCTTCCGACAGCTAGTGTGGTCACATTTTTAACCCTACCGACACAAATCTCACCACATGTGGTGAGCAGGCTCTCGTCTCGCTGATAGTATCTCCATTTCAGTGATAGGAGTTACGGTCTTGGCCGTGGAAGCACAAACATGAAAGGTGTGCCTCAAATAAAATCTCTATCTAATGAAGCATCTAAGCCAGGAGACACACAGAGCAGGCAGCATCACCATGGTAACACACATCTAATTGGGATGAGCTAATTAACCCAGTTTAACAGCAAAGAGACAGACAGACAGACAGACAGACAGAAGTATTCATCAAGTTTTTAACTAATTCAAATCTTCTAATATTCAAAATCTTGACCACATTTAGTCAACTTTTCAGTTCCTTTCAACGCAATTTGATTCTTTCTCACTTTTCTAACTACTTTTCATAGTGTTCAAACTCCTTTCTACACTTTGTCAACTTATGTCTAATCATTCTGTTGGAAACAATATTAAACCTTATGAGATATATTCAAGTTTTTAGTCCCATTCATAGTTTCTTTTAACAGTTTTCCAACTACAATACTCCTTTCAGTTACTTCCAACAAATTAGAGCCAGTGATTCAGTATATTGACAGCCCTTCAACACCCCAACAAATCTTCCACCTTTTACAGATTATTAATATCATTTAACTTTTAGAGTGAGCAATTCAGCGTACTTTTCAACAGATCTTCAAATATTCCACAAACACTTTCAAAGCCAGCAGTTCAGCATGGTGTCAGCATTCACAATTGCTTCAGAAATTGCATTCTCTAGAACTGTATTCTCATTTTCCTACAATGCAGCATGTTTTTTTTTATATATATATATTCTGTGGAACTGGAGGATGGAGTCCAAAACCGATTTCCCTACGGGGACATTAAAAGTATATCCTATCCTAGATTAGAAATGCTGCCAATCCAAATACAGTGTGTTTGTAACCAAAGAGGAGACATTTAAATGAAAGCCAAAGATCACTTAATTAAAGTTATGAGGCTTCAAGCATAGTTGGTGTGTTTTTGTGTGGTCGTGTGTGCATGTGTGCTCGTTCTCAATTTATGCAAGTGTATTACAAAATTAATTTGTGCTGGTCCAAAGATGAAAGCGCTTTCGTAACAAGTCCTATCGGGCACCGACACGTCATAACATAACACTGCAGACACATCTTTGGTGTGATGTTCACTGAACTTGTGCCTACATGCAGTCAGCCTGAGCCTACAGCGATGATAAATCGACATGAAGATTCAAAAACAGCCTCTGCCAAGATAACAA